CCGCCACAAGTGGTGTCCTTGTGATTTCCAGCCAGTCCATCCCTGCCACCCTCTGGAAAAGCCTTTTCTCTTGTCATATTTCAGGAGTGGTTCACCAACAGCCAGAACCTAGCAAGTAACTTTCCACACTGATAGCAATTCTTTTGAACTGAGTAGTCAGATGGTCTCAAATGTACCTTAGGCAAAAAAAAGCCTTAGGGCATTGGACGTGCTTTATCATCTGAAGACTGCATTTTCTAAAGAAAACAATTTTCCTGTGTGCTCTTTCTCTGTAATATTTTAACACCCATTTACTGAATGAAATTTAAACTATCCTTTTAAATAGGAAACTTCTGTCAAGACCTTCATTCATAGGGAATCGTGATAAACATTTATAGTAGAACAAGACCAATGTCTATGTTGTACAAAGCTCTCAAAAATAATCTGTGGTTGGATCTTTTTTATTATTTTTTGATGTTTCCTAGTGCTATGTAACTTTTTTTCCTCTTCCTTCCAGAAGCTGTACCTATCACCCACTAGAGACTACCTATTTTATTAGCCTGCAGTGAACACAGTCTGAATGGCGACATCAATACAGTTTTGTAACACAGAGATGACATTTCTGAACTAGAGCAGTTAACAACCAAGGCAAACTCCTCTGAACATTAGTGCTGAATCTAAGGACCACCAGGAGATGTGTAGAGACGTAGCAGAAAATCAGTGAGTAAATCACACTCAAATTTTTCCTGCAGTATTTACAATATAGGCCAATATAGAAAACTTGAAAAATTTAGTTCTTTGCTTCCAAAATGGAAACGTTCTCATGTTTTCTGGAGAGATTTCAAGGCATCTATTTTCTCTTTGTACCTTTCTATTTTTAGTAAAAGGCCCCAGACTTAGGGGTTGACAAAGACAGTAGCCCATGGGAGGCAAGGCTGCTGCAGCTCCATGTTCCCAAGTTCAGCCAGTAGAGAGGCTGGGCTGCATTCCCAATAGACACACACAAACATACATATGCAACACATATATACATGGTGGTCCACACAGATGTACATGGACAGAAGCACTCAGCACTCCCATGTCCACGAACAACACTGGCTGCTTCATTCTGCTCCCCTCTCTAGGCAAGCAGCACAAAGGTCTGCTAGTGGGAAAAATACACTTATAAACAATGTTGATCCCTTCAGTAACTGGCCTTGGATGCTGTTTATCCTGTAAGTGGTGTTGGATGACCTGGACCTTCCAGGTCACACACATTGTACTGCAGATCGCCAGTAACCGGCCTTAGACACTACCAGTACCTGGTCTTGGATCCTCTCATCTCCAGTTGTTGCACAGGCCTTCTGGCTGACCTGTGGACTTAAGGTTGATTCCAAACATGGCTCCCAGGCCTCTTCTCGCTGGCTAGTCCAGCTTGATATTCACTAGCCATTACACACTGACACATGTACTGACATACACATGCACTCTGATATCTCCAGCTGCTGGCACCCAAGGCTCAGGGAACCCTCTGCTACGAGGCCCCTACTTCAGTTGCTGGTACTTAGATCTCCATACATAAACACGCACACAGCAGAATCCCAGAGTCCCTGGGAAAATAATTAGAGTTCAAAGAGAAGATAGGACAGACTGCAGGGCTCCCTCTCTCAATTTTTTTCAGTCCTCTCTCACAGCTGCTGCGCAGTGTTTTTTACTCTTTCTTAAATATGTTATTCTGGAGGTGCCACCAGCATCACTGATAGGCTCAGCTTTGGCCTGTGGTGGGGCTGTTTCAGAGCTGGCTGGAGCCGGCTGTGTTCTGCATGGGGCAGCTCCCGATCTCACAGAAGCCAACCCTACAGTCCCCTGCTACCAAAACCTTGCCACATAAATCCAGTACAATCCCCTTCTGCAGACTCCTCCTGATGGGTGCCACAGCCAGGACATGGGGTGGACGGCTCTCCTGTGACAGCCCTGGAGCAGCGGGCTCCTCCCTCTGATGAGCGTCCTGGGTTCCCCCTTGCTGCTCTGCCTCTGGGCTGCCCCATGCTCCTGAGGATGAGCAAAAACCTCACCCAAACTCTCTATATAACCCTACCAACTGGAGAGAGAAAATGAGATAGCTGTCACTTACGGGGAACTGCTGAGCGCTATGTAATAACTTCTGGCAACTTCAAGCAGTGCTTTGAAAATTCTTCTTTGTGCTAATTAGCTGTGATCAGCAATTTTTGGTTTTTAAACATTAAATGCTCTGTTAAAACAAACCAATCTGTCAGGTAAACATTACTTAGTGCTGCAGACCAAACAAAAGTTATATATTAATGGAATGTCTAACTATTTTCCATTTTTCATTTCAACATTTCTCATATACCAAAGCTTTCTATGATATTAATGAAAAATTATCATAGGAACATTCCTAGTATTTTATGCACACTTTTGTTGAATCTTGTGAAGAGAAAAGAAATTAACAGTAAATTTGCAAATTTTTACAGCTCTATTGTATACTGAATTCAGTTTTTGGGCTGTAGATGCAGGATGAAAGGCGCAGCAGCCAGATGACTCAGACACTTGCTGCAAAACAACTGCGCAGTTCAAAATCATGGAGGAAGTTTTGCTGGTTTAAGTTTCTGCCAGTAGACTTCATGCTGGATTACACAAAGTCTGTCCAGGTCAGGAGTTTTGCTTCATGACCCTTTCACTTCTCCAGTTTCTTGTTTCTTCACTTCTGAGATCACTATACCAGGATGTCCCCAACTCTTTCATTGCAAGCTCAGTGTCTGTGTTTTCACTGCGTCTTAGGACAGCCATCACCAGCCAGTCATCTGGTAACAGGGAGTCTGTCCCTTTGCCTCAGTATTTGGTAACAGCATTGCCAGATAGCTTATTTCTAAACATTAAAGAATATATCTCCCAGTGTATTCTGTTATGCAAAAGGTGTACTGACAACTGCATCGTGCTACTCTCTTTTGAGAAAATTTCACACAGTGAATCGTAAAACACATCAGTTCATATCCACCTACAATGATACAAATACCAGCCTATAAAGACAAATTGAATTATATGGTGTACATACCAGTAACATCTAGAGTTTAACTACAACTTGGTGTTCCCAAACTACAGATTCTCAAATGTTTAATGAAGAGAGAAATAGAAAATATTATAGTATCATGGACATGTCATAACTGTAACTTTCTCTCAAAATATTAACAGATTAAAATTAATTTATTTTAGCTACTGTTCTTCATCAATAAATCAAAGCATTCATTTTGATATTCAATTTATTTAATCTCTACCATATCCAGGAATTTCTGTATCAAAAGAAAGAGACTTAAGTGGAAATCACTTGTGTCCTTTCTACTATCAACTTTTCAAGCAGGCACACTTAAGTCTGATATTTATTCACTCTTACTACTTCACTTAGATAAAAAGGGTACGTTTTTGTGCTGAATGTCTGAGAGAGGAGTTCTGAACAAAGCCCTCAGAAAGGCAGCAGAAAAGTAAGTAGTAAAAAGACCTCAGCACATCACTCCTAGCAACAGCACAGTTCTAACAGTCCAGGTTTTCAGAAGCAGATTCTAGCAAATAATAGCACCTTCACTGTGTTTACTGGCAAAAAATGTATTGCAAACCTTGGACGTAAAACAGAAAAAAGAATTATTCTTTTGATAGTTTGTTTGCAATGTGTGCAAAATAAAACGGACTTGTCCTGTGACACTTGGATGCTAAAGCTCCCATGCAGCTAGTAGTAAAATGTACTTGCTAAATTACTTCTTTTTTTAAAAACAAAGCAATTATTTGAGATTTCGTCATAATGGTGCAATATGAACTCACTAATGGACTATGACTGCTCAGAAGTCAGTAATTATGTTTCCATTTCTTTCCATAGATGCAAACAATTTCATGTGTCCTTGTTGTTTCAATGAGGCTATATTTTCTTAAGAGACATTTTCTTGAGAGAAATAACCAGAAAATCTCAGAGAAAAATAAATCACACAGAAAATGTAAATAAACACTGGATGCTATTTTAAATTAGTTAAGTTTTCCCCATAATTCAAGAATCAGGAAAGGGGAAAAGTTTGGGGATGTTAAGAAACAAAAACAAATTCAGGAATGAAATGAAAACATAAATTGAAAATAGAAATATAGAATACATGGGGGAGAAGAGAAAAATACTTAGCGCATGAGGGACAAAATAAACCTTATAAATACCACAGGCCCATCAGTAGATATAAACACAAAGATGAAAAAAGTATACATTATATGTATGTATATATTCTTTTCTGTTTCCTAAGATAAGGAAGGGGATGTTTATTAAATTCTCTCTAACTTACTACCCACTAAAGAAGAGGTTTATCAATGTCTACTCAGTACTAGCTTCGTGAAACACTAAACCAGAACAGCTTGTACCTGCGATGTCTGGACATGGATAAGATGTTAATCTTTAATTCACCTTAAAGCACTGATAAAAATACAGAAGGGAAGTAGCTAACATTAGGGATTGCTGTACATGCTCACTGTGGCAATAATAAACTTACTCATTATCAAGATATTAATGTTCACTGTTACTACCCAAGATGAAAAATAAAAGCTGCCTGGATAACACAGGAATAAACATATATTATGCCATCTGGAAGCAGATACAATCAGTATGGTATCCATTAGGTGTGGCTTTACGAATAGATTATTTTAAGACATGAAAACACAAAAAATGGTGGAACAGTCACTATTTTCAAAGAACCGTGGTACAGGAGTCTTCAGGGGGCAAGCTCAAACTTTCCAAGACTAACATTACAGGGAAAGAACAAAGATACTAGAAATAAAATTTAAAACTGTTATATCGGTCTGTGATTATAGACTAATTTGCATGCTTTCTATTACTACTTGAACATGTTACAAATTCTATGTCTGCTACACATACACACATATGCACGTGTGTGTGCACATATATGTGCGCACACATAACGTATTTCTAACCTAGCTGACACTCCTGCATTTCTTAGGTCAGTTATTCACACCCAAGCAAAACCTGAAGCCATACTTACCCCAGTATACGGTTCATTCCATGCCTAGCAGCATAATGCAGCGGAGTGTTGTGCTGGTACGTTTCTCCGTAAGAAGTATTTGGGTCAAGAGTTTCCTTTAGTTGAGGGTTGCTCTCATAGATTTGGCAGGCCAAGTTTTCATCTCCATTTATAAGAGCTTTGCGGAATTTAGTGGTTGTATTTCCCATGTTGCTATCCTAGCTATCAATGGCACTTTTTCCTTTCCCCTTCATCCACTTGTAACATGTTTCACGGCCTAAAAAGACAAACAATATTTCAGTTATTCTGAAATGTAAAACATTTTCCCAGACTAATTCACCCAGAGCTACAGTACAGCAAGCAGGCATATGAAGAAGTACATAGGGCGTGTAATCTCTCCTCATGAACTGCTGAAGTCCTTCTACGTAAATACACACAAATTCCCGATTCTTCACAGATTATTTCCCTGATAAATTGCACCATCTCCCTGTGCAAACACCTTCACTACTTATACTCTTTGAACATACAGAAAAGAAAAAACCAAACCAGTATCCACCTGTATTAGAAGACAGGGGTGAACACTGAATTTCTATGAATTAGAAGTTAAAAGTTATTTCAAAACACAGTAGAACAAAATAAAAGAATTTAAGCAAAGAGGTAAAATTCTTCAAAAGCATGCAAGAAAGCAGACATCAGTTTAGCTTTTACTTAAAGAAGTTCATGTAAAAATGTGCTCAAAGCACCTGTGCCTGTGTAGGTGGGTGTAAACAGCACATTTCTGTGCCAGCAAGATGAATGCACATAAACACATGAATTATCATGTCCTCATCTTAACAGTCCTGCTAAGCAGACTCCTTGAAACACCTAACCCTGTTCTAAAATGACAGAGTTCAAGAACGAACGAGTCCACAAAATGCCAGGCATTTTACTGGAACAAACCACCTGTACCTTGCAAGGACTTCAAAGGCCTTTCCAGCTGCTGCACTCCCCAGCTCTCACCTTTATCTGACAGAGGGGACCAGCAGAAAAAGCTGCACAAAGACAGGGCAGAGAAAGCATCTCCGCTCATGGGATGGGACCAGAGGAGTTTTATCAGGCCATGCAGTTGGAAATAGCACCCGCTGGTTTATGTCAGAGGGACAGACAGGGGACGCAGCACCAGGCTGCAGCTGGTAGCACAGTGAACCTTCTAGGAGGTCTCTTTTGTGCATGACTCATCCCATTCAGACAGCTCCATGCCAGACCTTTTACCCCACAAAGAACACACTGGGATCCAAATAAGCCAGGCACAGCAGGTTAGGAAACTGAGATTTATTATGCTGGGCACGTAAAATCAGGCAGGGCAGGAGCTGCTTCATGCCCAAAACTTCTACTTGTATATTTGCTTTCCAGCACAGTTACTGGTGCCCAGACAGCCTTTCAGACAGAAGAAACAGAGGAATCCAAGGGGTCTAGAGCTGCAGAAAATCCAAGGGAATCAGGATGTGGACGCAATTCATGTGAAAAGGATTTGGGGGAAGCTGGGGAAGAGCTGTAATCAGATATTTGAGTTTCCTCAAAGTAGTCCTCTCACGAGCTGCTTTCAGCTAATGTTGTGAATTTATGTGTCACGTTGCATCCCGGTCTTACTGTAGCTTTGCTCAGATCCCATTCTGCATGAGATCCTACCAGTGGAGTCTTGCACTGTCTCCTCTCTGCAGTTCCTCTGAGAGGTCACTTTGTGAAGGAGAGAGAAAAGACAACTTTGATCCTAATCTCATCAGTGCCATCAGGGTTGTTCAAAAAGGAGAGTGGTGGCCTCCATTTTCATCTCCTTTTCCTACAAAACCTTGAGGAGGCAACCCTTATTTTGGAGTTGTTCTGTCCTACCTTTTGATGTCATGGTGTGAGATAACAATCATACAATCATTGAATGGTTTGGGTTAGAAGGAACTCTAAAGACCACCTAGTTCCAAACTCCCTGCCATGGGCAGGGACACCTCCCACCAGACCAGGCTGTTCAAAGCCCTGTCCAACCTGGCCTTGAACACTTCCAGGCAGGGGGCATACACAGTTTCCCTGGGCAACCTGTGCCAGTCTCACCAACCCCACAGTAAAGAATTTCTTCTTAACATCTAGTCTAAATCTACCTCTTCCAGTTTAAGCCGTTACCCCTTGTCCTATCACTATTTGCCCTTGTAAAAAGTACCTCCCCAGCTTTCTTGTAGGCCCCCTTCAGGTACGGGAAGGCCACTAGAAGGTCTCCTCCGAGCCTTCTCTTCTCCAGGCTGAACAACCCAAACTCTCTCAGTCTGTCCTCAGCGGAGAGGTGCTCCAGCCCTCTGACTGTCTTCATGGCCCTCCTCTGGACCCACTCCAACAGCTCCAAGTCCTTCTTCTGCTGGGGACACCAGAACTGGATGCAGTACTCCAGGTGGGGTCTCACAAGAGCAGAGTAGAGGGGTAGAATCGCCTCCCTTGATCTGCTGGCCACACTTCTTTTGATGCAGCCCAGGATGTGGTTGGCCTTTTGGGCTGTAAGCAATGACACTGCCAAATCAGCTGACTCAGCATGCTAAACACGATGCCCATGTTCTCCTGTGACCAGATTTACCTAACAAGCAACTACATTAAGCAGATGAAAGTTTCTTGTAATAATAACGAAGTAAGCATTCATCTAAAAGTAAAGGCACACCCTTCACATGTTTAGTTATATACACAAACCAAAGCCCAGATTCTTCAATTACACTAAAGATTCTACAGCATCTTGTATCTTTCTGTTATCTCTGTATTTTAAAATATAAATATGCAGATACTATGCGGATATAATACTTTGATTCTTCAAGAAAGCCATTGCATGTTTAGCTCTCAGTGCTGTAGATTAATGTGTTTTCCGTTGCAGAAACAGCTGGATTACTCTAAATTTCAGATAGTTTCAGGCTTTAATGAAAGACTATACAAAACCAAGAAAAAAACTACAGTCTTTTCAATCAACCAGCAGTTCATATCACCTTCAACAGCGAGGATCTCAAAAATAACTTGCAAGAATGATTTTCAGTAAAGTTTTTAACGAGATTAGTTTATGGTATTATATTATCCCTCTCAACCACCAATAGCTTTTGAGACTATAAACTAAATGAGACAAGAGCATATGTCTGACAGATATCATGTTCCCAGAATCTTCATGAAAATCAATAACGAAGATCCCACTAGTGCCCTTACTAAGAAGAAAAGCACAAAACCTTCTCCCATCGTCTGAAATTAGAAGGTACCAGCACCAATTGCCATGCACTTATTTCTGGAAATTAGCACATGGATAGCTCGCATCAGCTGCAGAACCTGCTGCTTCTTGCTCCAAACTGGAACATTAAACAAACCTGGGCAGGGATGAGAGGGGGGGCTGAGAGTGTAAGGAGGAGAGATGGTGCTCTCAGGCAGTCTGAGAGGAGGCTGGGGCAGGGTGGTGCTGCTGAGATGTTGAAGAGGAGATCTGAAGGGATTTAGGTGGGGGGTCTGGAAATGCATGGCAGAACTAAGGGTCAGTGTAGGGTGGTTCTACAGAACTAAAGAGCTCAAGTTATTGCAGTGCAGAAAAGGCAAAAATTGTAAATTTCATTAATTCTATAGCACCAAACAAACTTTATTTGTATTTGATGGAGTACGGATATATTAGATGACAGCACAGTATTCAACAACTAATAACATAAAAGATGTAGGCACATTGCTTGAACTATTATGTACATTATCATAACACCTGGGAATTTTAGTGGTATGCAGCATCTACTGCATAAGTCACTGAACAAAACAATGACATCTGCTTCCATAAAAAAACTCACAGCCTATGTGCACAGTAAAGGGTTATATACAATACAGACATGTCATAGAAACGTGAATAAAATAAAAAGAGTAAAATACTTCTCTGTATAACAGGATCACTCTCCAAATGAAAGATTCTGAGTTATATCTAATTCTAATCATATATTATTATTTCAGAATCCCAAATATTAACATCTAATTCAAAATTAGAAATTGCATTTACTATTCTACTATCGTCCCATAAATTTTCCAGCTTAAACAAAACAGCTCAAATACTGGTTACACAGCCCACCTTAAAGTCTAAGGAAAGATTCTTTATAAGAAGTCAGGGGCATCACACCAAAACTGCTATGGGCTTATTAGCAACACTGCTAAAAGCAACATTTCAATATCATAGTTCTATAAATATTGAACAAAGAGACAGCCACTCTCATAGGAGCTTGAAGAGTGAGTACAAGATGAAACAAGGGTGGATACAGAAAGACATGGGCAGACCAAGGTAACAATGAGATTTTGAGAGCAGTTGACCAGCTGCCCAATTACTATTGATTTTTCCATGGGCATCATCATAGAAGTGAGTCTGAAGAAGGACAATTGTAATGGCTTAACAGGATTTTCGGAGTTCCTCCTTTGAAATACTGCCACGGTGCTTGCTAGAAATTTATAATGAACGATAAAGTACTGTTCAAGGGGGATCAGGTACGTATTTTTGAAACATTCTACTTCTAACGCTCATTTAGGAACCACATATTGAACACACAAGTCTTTGATGAGATGACGTACCTCTCTCAATTTACATTTGAATGGCTTTAATACTGAAGCAGAACACAGCAGCAGGATGCGGTCGTACAGCAGCCATTCTGTATCTTGGGGATGAAGAAAAGGAAGGGAGACATACTGTGCTATGCTGTACTGCTTAGGAAATCTAACAGAATGAGTGAAAAATACTCAGAGTTTAACTATGAGAAGAAAATGCTATATAGCTCTTGCACCAAAAAGTCTGTATAATGAGCTAAGATCAGCAATGGATCGAATCAATGGATCTGCAACCACTATTTTACAATGTAACACTGTGTAATTCCACCGCTTAACCCTAAAAGTTTTGAATACAATTTGCAGCTTAAAAAATAGTGTACTTCTTGTTTGACAAAAGTAAACTTCTGCTCTTCACATAAACTTGAACAACATTATTGTGGGATGACTGAGTGAGCCAGGCTAAAAAAAGTAAGACTTTACATAGCCCCTCATAAGTAAATCTGAATAGTATCAAAATAAAATTCATTATTGACTAAAATTAGTGTACAATACATGGTTTCTACACCCTTGGAAAGACAAGTGGTAATAAACTGCTTACACAAAAAGGATAAAACAAAAAGATATCAAAAGTACTGGCTTTTGTTGAAAGTATGCAATA